AGCTACCCAGCTACCCAGCTACCTAGCTACCCAGCTACCCAGCTACTCAGCTACCCAGCTATCCAGCTACCCAGCTACCCAGCTACCCAGCTACCTAGCTACCCAGCTACCCAGCTACCCAGCTACCCAGCTACCTAGCTACCCGGCTACCCAGCTACACAGCTACCCGGCTACCCAGCTACCCAGCTACCCGGCTACCCAGCTACCCAGCTACCCAGCTACCCAGCTACCCAGCTACCCAGCTACCTAGCTACCCAGCTACCCAGCTACTCAGCTACCCAGCTATCCAGCTACCCAGCTACCCAGCTACCCAGCTACCTAGCTACCCAGCTACCCAGCTACCTAGCTACCCGGCTACCCAGCTACCCGGCTACCCGGCTAACTAGCTACCCAGCTACCCGGCTACCCAGCTACCCGGCTACCCAGCTACCCAGCTACCCATTTACCCAGCTACCCAGCTACCCAACTACCCAGCTACCCAGCTACCCAGCTACCCAGCTACCCAGCTACCCAGCTACCCAGCTACCCAGCTACACAGCTACCCGGCTACCCAGCTACCCAGCTACTCAGCTACCCGGCTACCCAGCTACCCAGCTACCCAGCTACCTAGCTACCCAGCTACCCAGCTACCCAACTACCTAGCTACCCAGCTACCCAGCTACCCAGCTACCCAGCTACCCGGCTACCCAGCTACCCAGCTACCCAGCTACCCAACTACCCAGTTACCCAGCTACCCAGCTACCCAGCTACCCAGCTACCCAGCTACCCAGCTACCTAGCTACCCAGCTACCCAGCTACCTAGCTACCCGGCTACCCAGCTACCCGGCTACCCGGCTAACTAGCTACCCAGCTACCCGGCTACCCAGCTACCCGGCTACCCAGCTACCCAGCTACCCATTTACCCAGCTACCCAGCTACCCAACTACCCAGCTACCCAGCTACCCAGCTACCCAGCTACCCAGCTACCCAGCTACCCAGCTACACAGCTACCCGGCTACCCAGCTACCCAGCTACTCAGCTACCCGGCTACCCAGCTACCCAGCTACCCAGCTACCTAGCTACCCAGCTACCCAGCTACCCAACTACCTAGCTACCCAGCTACCCAGCTACCCAGCTACCCAGCTACCCGGCTACCCAGCTACCCAGCTACCCAGCTACCCAACTACCCAGCTACCCAGCTACCCAGCTACCCAGCTACCCAGCTACCCAGCTACCCAGCTACCCAGCTACCCAGCTACCCAGCTACCCAGCTACCCAGCTACCCAGCTACCCAGCTACCCAGCTACCCAGCTACCCAGCTACCCAGCTACCCAGCTACCCAGCTACCCAGTTACCCAGCTACCCAGCTACCCAGCTACCCAGCTACCCAGCTACCCAGCTACCTAGCTACCCAGCTACCCAGCTACCTAGCTACCCGGCTACCCAGCTACCCGGCTACCCAGCTACCCAGCTACCCAGCTACCCAGCTACCCAGCTACCCGGCTACCCAGCTACCCAGTTACCCAGCTACCCAGCTACCCAGCTACCCAGCTACCCAGCTACCCAGCTACCCAGCTACCCGGCTACCCAGCTACCCAGCTACCCAGCTACCCAGCTACCCAGCTACCCAGATACCCAGCTACCCAGCTACCCAGCTACCCAGCTACCCAGCTACCTAGCTACCCGGCTACCCAGCTACCCAGTTACCCGGCTACCCGGCTACCCAACTACCCAGCTACCCGGCTACCCAGCTACCCAGCTACCCGGCTACCCAGCTACCCAGCTACCTAGGTACCCGGCTACCCAGCTACCCGGCTACCGAGCTACGCATTTACCCAGCTACCCAGCTACCCAGCTACCCAGCTACCCAGCTACCTAGCTACCCGGCTACCCAGCTACCCAGCTACCCGGCTACACAGCTACCCGGCTACCCAGCTACCCAGCTACCCAGCTACCCAGCTACCCGACTACCCAGCTACCCGGCTACCCAGCTACCAAGCTACCCAGCTACCCAGCTACCCAGCTACCCAGCTACCCAGTTACCCAGCTACCCAGCTACCCAGCTACCCAGCTACCCAGCTACCCGGCTACCCAGCTACCCAGCTACCCAGCTACCCGGCTACCCAGCTACCCAGCTACCCGGCTACCCGGCTACCCGGCTACCCAGCTACCCAGCTACCCAGCTACCTAGCTACCCGGCTACCCGGCTACCCAGCTACCCAGCTACCCAGCTACCTAGCTACCCAGCTACCCAGCTACCCAGCTACCCGGCTACCTAGCTACCCAGCTACCCAGCTACCCAGTTACCCAGCTACCCAGCTACCCAGCTACCCAGCTACCCAGCTACCCAGCTACCCAGCTACCCAGTTACCCAGCTACCCAGCTACCCAGCTACCCAGCTACCCAGCTACCCAGCTACCCAGCTACCCGGCTACCCAGCTACCCAGCTACCCAGCTACCCAGCTACCTAGCTACCCAGTTACCCAGCTACCCAGCTACCCAGCTACCCAGCTACCCAGCTACCTAGCTACCCGGCTACCCAGCTACCCAGTTACCCGGCTACCCGGCTACCCAACTACCCAGCTACCCGGCTACCCAGCTACCCAGCTACCCGGCTACCCAGCTACCCAGCTACCTCGGTACCCGGCTACCCAGCTACCCAGTTACCCGGCTACCCGGCTACCCAGCTACCCAGCTACCCAGCTACCCAGTTACCCAGCTACCCAGCTACCCAGCTACCCGGCTACCCAGCTACCCAGCTACCCGGCTACCCAACTACCCAGCTACCCAACCACCCAGCTACCCAGCTACCCAGCTACCCAGCTACCCAGCTACCCAGCTACCCGGCTACCCAGCTACCCAGCTACCCGGCTACCCAGCTACCCAGCTACCCGGCTACCCGGCTACCTAGCTACCCAGCTACCCGGCTACCCAGCTACCCGGCTACCCGGCTACCCAGCTACCCAGCTACCCGGCTACCCGGCTACCCAGCTACCCAGCTACCCAGCTACCCGGCTACCCAGCTACCCAGCTACCCGGCTACCCAGCTACCCGGCTACCCAGCTACCCAGCTACCCAGCTACCAAGCTACCCGGCTACCCAGCTACCCAGCTACCAAGCTACCCGGCTACCGAGCTACGCATTTACCCAGCTACCCAGCTACCCAGCTACCCGGCTACCCAGCTACCTAGCTACCCGGCTACCCAGCTACCCAGCTACCCGGCTACACAGCTACCCGGCTACCCAGCTACCCAGCTACCCAGCTACCCAGCTACCCGACTACCCAGCTACCCGGCTACCCAGCTACCTAGCTACCCGGCTACCCAGCTACCCGGTTACCCGGCTACCAAGCTACCCAGCTACCCAGCTACCCGGCTACCCAGCTACCCAGCTACCCAGCTACCCGGCTACCTAGCTACCCGAATACCTAGCTACCCTGACAGCTGATTGTAAAGTGATTAATCACCATCCATCGTTGAAATGTATAAAGCTATATTTGTTCGAAAATGAGTGCTGAGTAACACATTTTGAGATGTCGAGCAGTAAGTATAATGATTCCATTTTGAAAATCCAAATGGTATGCATTTTGAGTAAGAGGACACCAGATTTCTTTGGTGAGTAGATACACAATGCTTTAAGAAGGTCATATGATCAATGATCATATGACCTTCCTTAAGCATTGTGTATATATACATATGCTGTGAACCGGAGCCTTGTTGCTATAGTGTTTTTTAAATCTTAGGTTTGGGTAAATTTTGATATATAGTAGAAGCTCTTACCTAGAGTACCTACCTAGAGTACCTACCTAGAGTACCTACCTAGAGTACCTACCTAGAGTACCTCCCTAGAGTACTTACCTAGAGTACCTACCTAGAGTACTTACCTAGAGTACCTACCTAGTGTACCTACCTAGAGTACCTACCTAGAGTACCTACCTAGAGTAACTACCTAGAGTACCTACCTAGAATACCTACCTAGAGTACCTACCTAGAGTACCTACCTAGAGTACCTACCTAGAGTACCTACCTAGTGTACCTACCTAGAGTACCTACCTAGAGTACCTACCTAGAGTAACTACCTAGAGTACCTACCTAGAGTATCTACCTAGAGTATCTAACTAGAGTACCTACCTAGAGTACCTACCTAGAGTACCTACCTAGAGTACTTACCTAGAGTACCTACCTAGAGTACCTACCTAGAGTACCTACCTAGAGTACCTACCTAGTGTACCTACCTAGAGTACCTACCTAGAGTATCTACCTAGAGTACCTACCTAGTGTACCTACCTAGAGTACCTACCTAGAGTACCTACCTAGAGTACCTACCTAGAGTACCTACCTAGAGTACCTACCTAGAGTACCTACCTAGAGTACCTACCTAGAGTATCTAACTAGAGTACCTACCTAGAGTACCTACCTAGAGTACCTACCTAGAGTACCTACCTAGAGTACCTACCTAGAGTACCTACTTAGAGTACCTACCTAGAGTACCTACCTAGAGTATCTAACTAGAGTACCTACCTAGAGTACCTACCTAGAGTACCTACCTAGAGTACCTACCTAGAGTACCTACCTAGAGTACCTACCTAGAGTACCTACCTAGAGTACCTACCTAGAGTACCTACCTAGAGTACCTCCCTAGAGTACCTACCTTGAGTACCTACCTAGAGTACCTACCTAGAGTACTTACCTAGAGTACCTACCTAGAGTACCTACCTAGAGTACTTATCTAGAGTACCTACCTAGAGTACCTACCTAGAGTACCTACCTAGAGTACCTACCTAGAGTACCTACCTAGAGTACCTCCCTAGAGTACCTACCTAGAGTACCTACCTAGATTACCTACCTAGAGTACCTTCCTAGCGTACCTAGAGTACTGACTAAAATATTAACATTACGACAGTTTTTGACCTTAACGGCCAACCTGACCTCTATTGATATATTTCTATGTGTTTATCATTAAATTGATCGTAATTTAATAATTAATCACTAATTGCTTATTTGAACGCGTTTGTGCAGTGTAAAATGTCATTTGCAGGTTAATTCAGTACTCTATAAAACAAAGCAAAACAAGAAGAAAAGGACTACTAAAGAGCTTAAGGTTATTATAAAAACTATATTTTACTTTTTCATCGTTGATGGTAACTAACTGTGTGAAAACTGATAAGTACCTATTTGACTTAAAAAGATTTAATGGTCTATTGTTCATTTTGACCATGACCACAGCTGGAAAAATAACTAAAATATTTCAGGATCATTTCACGTGAGATTGTCAAGAAACAAGCTGGTTTTATTCTCAAGCAGCTCAAAAATCTGTTCTGAACACAAGGTAATCCAACAACAAAAAACTTTAAATTAACCTAGTCTCCTTATATTTTAGCATGTTAGTTAAAAATCTTCATAAAATTCATGTTTATATACGGCAAATGCTGAAAACGAAAAAATGATTTACCAAATACTGGCTAGGTATCGGCGAAAAAGTGCCTCAATCACATAATATGACCATATAATATTAATAAGGAAGTTGGTCTAATTTTCCGTTAGAATTAAGGTATTAGCATATGCTTCGGTTAGAGATTGGGTTAGGGTTGGCATCAGTGTCATGTAGAAAGTTGGGGTTTTGCTGAGCTTCCATTTGTTTGACAATTCAAATTAATATTATAAGAGCTGGACGAGAAATTCGTTCGGGCAATCAATGCTGTCGTTCATCTCATATTGGTAAGGGTCTGCGTTCAGGTTAAGGGCGTAAAAATGAATCGTGTTCTGGTTTTTTTTTACATATTTGATAAATTTACAGATCTAGCTTAAAATTTATGCAAAATTAAATAATCTTCGTTTGTTGAAAATTATGTCATTACCCCTGTTGCCCCTCTGTTGCCCCTCTCCAAATTAAAGTACTTATTATTGCTGCAGTGTACGTTCTATAAATTAAAAAAATCAATATCACTATGATAATACCAGGCAACAGTTAAATAGTGGGTCTGGCAACCAGAATGGTGAGTCTTCGCCCTAGAAGAGTGGGTCTGGCAAACAGAATGGTGGGTCTGCACTCTAGAAGAGTGGGTGTGGCAACCAGAATGGTGGGTCTGCAATCTAGAAGAGTGGATCTGGCAACCAGAATTGTGGGCCTGGACTCTAGAATAGTGGGTCTGGCAACCAGAATGGTGGGTCTACACTCTGGAATAGTGGGTCTGGCAACCAGAATGGCGGGTCTTCGCCGTAGAAGAGTGGGTCTGGCAATCAGAATGGTGGGTCTGCAATCTAGAAGAGTGGATCTGGCAACCAGAATTGGGGGTCTATAAACTAGAATATAGGAGATATGGCAACCAGAATGGTGGGTCTGGACTCTAGAATAGTGAGTCTGGCAACCAGAATGGTGGGTCTGCAGACTAGAATAGTGGGTCTTCACTCTAGAAGAGTGGGTCTGGCAACCAGAATTGGAGGTCTATAAACTAGAATATAGGAGATATGGCAACCAGAATTGTGGGTCTGGACTCTAGAAGAGTGGGTCTGGCAACCAGAATTCGGGGTCTATAAACTAGAATATAGGAGATATGGCAACCAGAATGGTGGGTCTGGACTCTAGAATAGTGAGTCTGGCAACCAGAATGGTGGGTCTGCAGACTAGAATAGTGGGTCTTCACTCTAGAAGAGTGGGTCTGGCAATCAGAATGGTGGGTCTGCAATCTAGAAGAGTGGGTCTGGCAACCAGAATTGGAGGTCTATAAATTAGAATATAGGAGATATGGCAACCAGAATTGTGGGCCTGGACTCTAGAATAGTGGGTCTGGCAACCAGAATGGTGGGTCTACACTCTGGAATAGTGGGTCTGGCAACCAGAATGGCGGGTCTTCGCCGTAGAAGAGTGGGTCTGGCAATCAGAATGGTGGGTCTGCAATCTGGAAGAGTGGATCTGGCAACCAGAATTGAGGGTCTATAAATTAGAATATAGGAGATATGGCAACCAGAATGGTGGGTCTAGCAACCCGGATGATGGGTCTTCACTCTAAGACTCTAGAATGGTGGGCTGCATTCTAGAATAGTGGGTCTTCACTCTAGAAGATTGGGTCTGGCTGCAGCCCCCCCCCCCCCCCCCCCCCCCCCCGGAAAAATTGAACCCCAGAAAAAAAACAAGCCCTCGAGTCCCCACGGTTGCCTGGTAACTGGGCTGTGTTTATGACTGCAGTCTGTACTGTTTAAACGGCAGGCAATTGACTTCAGCATTTCGTAAATTATTCCCAAATCCCACTATACACTATACTTATTGTAACTTTGGACCCCCAACTTTGTATTATTATGATGTCTGATTATTGCTGTCCTAAAAATTTCTTTAATGCCAAATGTTGTCTAAAACACCCTATTTCTCAAAATTTTTCCGGACCCCGCTTGGGGCTGCGCCCCCAGACCTCTGTCGCAGCTTGCTCGCTGGGCAGCTGGGTTGGACGCGTCGGCTCGCTTCGCTCGCCGTGGGCCCCCTCAAAGAAAAATCCTGGCTACGTGCCTGTGTTTGTTTTAAAAAGTTGTTTTCATTATTTTAGAGTTTTCATTGTACTACAACTTCTGTACATCTTGTAGTTGTACACTTTCATAACTTAATAAATAAACGAAATTGATTGATTGATTGAAATTCAATGTTTTAATTATAATTTCGGTTATTTGGAATCGAAAAAATTAATCTATAAGTATAAATGAATAACGGAATCTTCATTATGAAGTTACGAGATGATAACATAATTGGGGGGCAAAGTGGGGGATCACAAAAGTACCGCAAGTGTATAAGGCTGGGGGCTCATAATGCGCAAAATTTGGCCGCTGTCGAGTGGGTCTGCCTAAAATTCACAGATCTAGCTATGGGTCTGGGACATATGTAAAAAAAACTTAGAATTGACCCGTAAAGTATTTCAAGTGGTTATACAAGGTAACAGAATCAGCACGACCGTTTTTAAGACACCAGCACTGATGAGGATATTGGAGTGTTAAATTTAGGCTTGATGTTGCACTAAGTCTTTTATTTTGTGTTCGATAGACTCGGCCTGGCTCAACTGCATTATACTTATAGAGCGAAAAACTATCTTTCCATTCCTATAACTCATCTTATATAGTTAAACCTCATATACGTACTGTTATCAATCTACCTTTTTAATTGTTCGTATTGCGTCCAAAAATACACCTACTCAGATCAATTTCATACCCAAAGGGCCTTTACACAAGAATTTTCTTAAAATTTGGGCGAGCGATTTAGTAGGACTAGGAGCGATTGATTCGTGATAAAAGGGACAGGTACAATATTCCGTATTACTATTAGTATTATTACGACCTGTTTCTGACCGTACATTTTCTTGTATGATTTTATCTTTAAAAGTTTAAAGTTTCTTTTCGAGTATGACTATGAGTGTTGTGCCTTATAACCTGCCTACCTAGCTCATAGGGTTCTTCCAACCTGTACACCGGACACCCGCTAGCTAAAAGTTTTTTTCGAGGAAATTGAAAATCTATTATGTTACATAGTTTTTTGTTATCATCTATGATCTAGGCTCTAGCTCCGTAACATAAATTGTATGGATTTTTATTTGCCAATGATGACAAAGGTTTAAGTATTGTCTAATCTATACTTGTTACTGCATCAAAAAACATCAATGACAACCAAAGTTATGGATAGTCATAGCGTAATTGTAATGTGAGCTAGTTATGACGTAGTTATGACGCACTTATGAGGCAGGTTATAAAGCACAGCGACGCGCGTTGCTAACCTGTGTTGTACTGTGGTTGCTCGCGCACGTGTAATCTCTTGATGTTGCTACGCAACGACGTAGTTAACCTTTAAATTATCAGTGTTTTTTCGAGTTTAAAATATTATATACTTATAGATATACCAAAGTTCTAAATAACAGATAGTGTAAACACAACGCTGCTATCCATTCTTTCTCTAAAGAAACAGAATTATAAAACTTGCATTCTGTGCCAATTTGCTCTGTCAAAGCAATATTCTTAAGATGAATAATAAATTACGACAACTTAAGTCGCGCTTTATCGACGAGAAAAAACGCTTGGGCCTCCGGCGTCCAATTTATGTCCGCTCAAACAAAATCCGATAAGGTAGCTCCGTTTTACGCCCATGCTATGAGTATGACTTTTCATAACTTTGGTTAATGTGATCTATATTTTTGATGTGGTGAAAAGTATCGCTTAGAAAATACTTGAAACTTTGTTGTCATTGTCAATTGTCAAATAACATCCACACTTTCTACAGTGCGGAGCTAAATGAAGAGAAATTAAAACATAACTGATTTTAAATATCTTCGAGTAAAGCTGTCGACTGGCGCATTTCTAATCTTATAAATGTGAAAACTTTTTATAATACATTTCAGTCGAAGATAAGAACAGTCTGATAAGAATAGACAATCCAGAGCAAGAACCAGGTAAGATGATTACTATAAATAGTAAACTTGGTACAAAAGAGGAAATATCTTCTCTCGCTACCAAACTTCGCTCAGTTCCTGATGATAAAGACGACACAGTATGCCCAGATGTGGTAAAGAAGCTGAAACAAACTGAGTTTTACAGTGTGGTTGTTGATTTGTATAAGAGTAATGAGGAGTTGCAATTTAAAAGAGATGCAACTTTCTTATTGAGAAGGGTCGGATACTACGGTGATAAGGAAGATTTAAAGGAGCTAGTTCATAGAGGTATAGTGAGGCTCATCCTTACAGACTGTGTTTACTCAACAGATGCAGATCTCATAACAAACGTAGTAACAGTCTTAAGAGATGTATGTTCCAATCATAACAGGGTTCTTTTGTCAGACATTGCTGAGGAGGGTCTTTATGATAAAGTGATATACCTGCTGGAGACCTGGAAAAGTAACGATGATATAGCTGAGAGAATACTTTTCATGATCAACACGATATGTTCTTATGAGATGTCACTAGGTGAAGATATTGTTTCATTAAACCAGCCTAGATTTGTTGATATACTGAGAAATAAACATCAACTTCTTAGAGAAATAATAAGTTCGGACACAAGCTGTAAAGTAACTGCTGCGATACTGTTATTCAAATACCTGGGCAGTATTGAAAAAAGTGAGCTATTACAACTGTTAATACCACCGACAAATAAAATGTTCACTGAGGGCGGTATTGTAAAGCTAGCTAGTAACATAAAAGCGATACCTGATAAAGAAGACGAATTTGGAAAACAAGTAATCAGAGAGGTTGTTTCAGCTGACTTTATCAGCAAGTTTAGTGAACAGTACGACAGTAATACTAAGGAGGTGTATCGTAGAAACCTGACATATGTGCTGAGAAGAGTAGCTTCTCTAGGAGATAAAGCTGTAAGAAGCTCACTGGTTAAAAGTGGTGTAATAAAACATTTGATAACAACATGGGAACATTGCACTGACAGTGAGGTTATGTGCAATATATCAGCTACTCTAAGTAGTTTTGTTTACGATAACGGTGATATCTCACATGTAGACCACCTTGTTGAGGAGGGAGTGCTAACCCTTATATCTAAACTACTACAGAAGTGGAGTGAAGATGACACGGTGATGGTTACGTTACTTGTAACTTTAGAGAACATTACCTGTTATAGGAAAGATATCGAGGAGTTAATAGCTAACAGTACAGAGTACGGAAATATACCTCTACTCCTACAAGGGTTATTAGAAACAGCTTCCAGTGACAGTGTTATTGTGCAGACTATTAAGGTTATCAGGAATTTAGTAGTGGGGATTGATGTACTTCACACAGTGTTTCTACACGCAAGCTTCTTTACCACAGCTTTCCGACACCTGCAATCAACTACACTAAACAGTAATAGTAAGGAGTACCTACTGTGTGGTATAATATGTACATTAGCAAACACCAATACTGATAAAATGAAAGATCTTCTGATTCCTTACTCTCAACCACTGAAAGAATTAGCCAAGACGGGGAGTGATAGTGTGTTAAGTGTAAATGCTGCAATACTGTTAAATAAATACCTGGACAGTATTGAGGAAAGTGAGCTATTACAACTGTTAATACCACCGACAAATGAAATGTTCACTGAGGGAGGTATTGTAAAGCTAGCTAGTATCATAAAAGCGATACCTTATGAAGAAGAAGAATTTGGAAAACAAGTAATCAGAGAGGTTGTTTCAGCTGACTTTATCAGCAAGTTTATTGAACAGTACGACAGTAATACTAAGGAGGTGTATCGTAGAAACCTGACATATGTGCTGAGAAGAGTAGCTTCTCTAGGAGATAAAGCTGTAAGAAGCTCACTGGTTAAAAGTGGTGTAATAAAACATTTGATAACAACATGGGAACATTGCACTGACAGTGAGGTTATGTGCAATATATCAGCTACTCTAAGTAGTTTTGTTTACGATAACGGTGATATCTCACATGTAGACCACCTTGTTGAGGAGGGAGTGCTAACCCTTATATCTAAACTACTACAGAAGTGGAGTGAAGATGACACGGTGATGGTTACGTTACTTGTAACTTTAGAGAACATTACCTGTTATAGGAAAGATATCGAGGAGTTAATAGCTAACAGTACAGAGTACGGAAATATACCTCTACTCCTACAAGGGTTATTAGAAACAGCTTCCAGTGACAGTGTTATTGTGCAGACTATTAAGGTTATCAGGAATTTAGTAGTGGGGATTGATGTACTTCACACAGTGTTTCTACACGCAAGCTTCTTTACCACAGCTTTCCGACACCTGCAATCAATTACACTAAACACTGATAGTAAGCAGTACCTACTGTGTGGTATCATATGTACATTAGCAAACAAGAATACTGATAAAATGAAAGCTCTTCTGATTCCTTACTCTCAACCACTGAAAGAATTAGCCAAGATAGGGAGTGATAGTGTGTTAAGTGTAAATGCTGCGATACTGTTAAATAAATACCTGGACAGTATTGAGGAAAGTGAGCTATTACAACTGTTAATACCACCGACAAATGAAATGTTCACTGAGGGAGGTATTGTAAAGCTAGCTAGTATCATAAAAGCGATACCTTATGAAGAAGAAGAATTTGGAAAACAAGTAATCAGAGAGGTTGTTTCAGCTGACTTTATCAGCAAGTTTAGTGAACAGTACGACAGTAATACTGAGGAGGTGTATCGTAGAAACCTGACATATGTGCTGAGAAGAGTAGCTTATCTAGGAGATACAGCTGTAATAAGCTCACTGGTTAAAAGTGGTGTAATAAAACATTTAATAACAACATGGGAACATTGCACTGACAGTGAGGTTATGTTCAATATATCAGTTACTCTACAGAACATTGCATACGATAACGGTGATCTCTCACATGTTGACCACCTTGTTGAGGAGGGAGTTCTAACCATTATATCTAAACAACTACAGAAGTGGAGTGAAGATGACACTGTGATGGTTACGTTACTTGGAACTTTACAGTACATTACCTGTAATAGGGTGGATATCAAGGAGTTAATAGCTAACAGTACAGAGTACGGAAATATACCTCTACTCCTACAAGAGTTATTAGAAACAGCTTCCAGTGACAGTGTTATTGATAAGACTATTGATGTGATCAGGAATTTAGTAGTGGGGACTGTTGTACTTCACACAGTGTTTCTACACGCAAGCTTCTTTACCACAGCTTTCCGACACCTGCAATCAACTACACTAAACAGTAATAGTAAGGAGTACCTACTGTGTGGTATAATATGTACATTAGCAAACACCAATACTGATAAAATGAAAGATCTTCTGATTCCTTACTCTCAACCACTGAAAGAATTAGCCAAGACGGGGAGTGATAGTGTGTTAAGTGTAAATGCTGCGATACTGTTAAATAAATACCTGGGCAGTATTGAGGAAAGTGAGCTATTACAACTGTTAATACCGCCGACAAATGAAATGTTCACTGAGGGTGGTATTGTAAAGCTAGCTAGTAACATAAAAGCGATACCTGTTAGAGAAAAAGAATTTCGAAAACAAGTAATCAGAGAGGTTGTTTCAGCTGACTTTATCAGCAAGTTTATTGAACAGTACGACAGTAATACCGAGGAGGTGTATCGTAGAAACCTGACATATGTGATGGCAATAGTAGCTTATCTAGGAGATAAAGCTGTAATAAGCTCACTGGTTAAAAGTGGTGTAATGAAACATTTAATAACAACATGTGAACTTTGCACTGACAGTGAGGTTATGTGCAATATATCAGCTACTCTAAGTAGTGTTGTAAACAATAAAGGTGATCTCTCACATGTTGACCACCTTGTTGAGGAGGGAGTTCTAACCGTTATATCTAAACTACTACAGAACTGGAGTAACGATGACACTGTGATGGTTGAGTTACTTGGAACTTTACAGAACATTACCAGTAATAGGGTGGATATCAGGGAGTTAATAGCTAACAGTAGTACAACAGAGTACGGAGATATACCCGAACTAGTGACAAATATTTTCCAAACAAGCAATAATGTTGAGGTACTGGAGAGCACTTTTGGTTGTATTAACAACATGTTACATGAGAGCATGGCTTTACATGAGCACTTCTCCAACAAACAACTCATAGACACGTGTATCTCCCGGATCAGATCTGATGTGTTATCTTCTGAGTACAAAATCAAGATATTACGGGGTATTGTCACCACCCTCACATGCAACCACCCTGCTAAAGTTGCTGCATTGTTAGTTCCACACACACATTCTTTGAAGGAAATCGCCGAGTTAGACACTGACACTGAGTTTTTCAAAGGACTTTGTTTGCCCATTTTAAAAAACGTAACTTAATTTGGTGGAAAAAAAGCGCAAAAAAGTTTTTTGGGTTTCAAACATTTTATATTAAAAATCTTGAAATTTTTTGCTCTTTTAATTGTAGACTTTGTTTTAGAATTAAAAGTGGGGTTGAACGCTTTTTAAATGGTCCTTATTTAAGCACCGGTATGGGGTTTTATTGTTTATTTTTTATTTAGTATTTCCCCTTTGGGGGAAATTTATTTAAATTACAATCTTTTTTTGGGTTTTCCCTTAAAATGTGGAAAATAAAAAATTTTCGTTTTCCGGATATCCTACGGGGATAAAACCCGGGGACGAATAACGAAGTTTTTTTCCCCCCTTTGGGGGTTTAAAAACCAGTGTAAAACACACTACCCTGAACTTTAAAAAACGGGTTTTACGGGGCGGGCACCCCCCTCATAAGCTTTTGAGCTGGGTTTTCATGGGATTTTAAAAAACGCTGTATACAATCATAAGAAAAAATTTTTCATTTTGGAAGACCTCCACTCAAGAAAAAGATCCTAGAAAAATTGTGCCCCTGCCCCTTTTAAACGGGGGGGTTTTCATTTTGTAAAATTTATCGAAAACCCAACAAAAGTAAGGGTTGTTTTGGGTTTGGGGAAATCAAAAGGGAATATGTTCCCCCTATTGTAAAACTGTATAGGTTAAAAATAAACCTGTTTTTTAAAGTGGAAAAGGTTTTTGAAGAGTTGTGCCGGGGGGTGCAAAATTTTATCCGGGACCCCCTCACAAACAGTCGGGAAACTAGTGTCGTTCATAGGAGTATTGCTCTATTAATTTAAAACGCCCTCATCTGTCCTTGTTTATTCAGGGGGGTGAGGGTTGATAATGAAATATGTGGTTTTTTAACATCAGGGTATTGTTTTCCATATTTTTATTTTCTGCTATTTCACTTACTATTTTTCATCACGAGTGGCAGTCCCTTAGCCTTTTCGTTTGGTAAAAGGGAAATTTGTGAAAAAGGTTTTTATTTTAGAGAAGGCGAAAACAAAAAACCGAAAAACTTGTAAAAATTTGGGACGAGCGCCTATTTGTTTTCTTCAGGAGTGAACCCTTTATAGTGAGCCCCCAAAAATCCTTTTAATCGGGTGCCCAGGACGTGTTCCAAGACTTATCATTTAAGACCCAAACGCAGTTTTTCATAAATTTTGTTTTTCCCCGGGTTAGAGTAATAACCGACACGGTTTTAGCAAAAAACCTAAACCTAAACGAGGGAAAAATGGTTTTTGGGGTATTACGCTGGTACTTTTTTATATCGGTGCAATGTATAGGGCTGACTTTACATTTCTTAACCCAGAAAAGGACCAAAAATTATTGTCTTTTTTAATTAAACCCCCAAAAGGGAAGCTTTTTGGATTTTAAAACCCAGGTGTATATAGGATATCAATTTTGTCATGTTACTGAAAAAGCAACAAAGATAAACAGCAAAAAAAGTCAAACCCACCCAATCGTATAATTACAAAAACCCAATTTTCTAGACCCTTTTAAATGACGCAATTTTGGGGGTTGGGGGAACAAAAGTAAAGAAAAACCCTGTTAGTCAGAGAAAATGCTGCTCACTACCCAAGTTTTTCCCTGAAGAAACTTAGAAACTGTTTTTAAACTCGACCGTTTTAATAGAAATTACGGGGAAAAATTTCTCCCCTCAATTAGTGATCCCTGAGAATTTCTAAAGAATCTTCGTTGCGTCGTAAGGGGGGAAATTTGCTCATTAAAAAGGAGAAAGTACGACAATATTATCTTCTCTGTTAGCCCTTTTCGGGGTTTTGGGAAAAACATTGAAAAAGGGGGCCCCCAAGGCTTACCCCGAGGGAAAGAGCAAATTTGGGTTAAAATGTTTTTCCCGCAGTTTGAAGATATCAGGGACGATGATTTGGGAGCCTAATCTCGTACCAGCTTTGCAACAAACTAAAAAGTTAGAATAAAAACAAGTAAAACTGATGCGATGAAGGTGACATTCCAATATTGAGCTGGTTGAACAGATCAGTAACCTCGGGGCGAAAAATATTTCCCCCTTTAAAAAGAGCGGGAAATGGGAAAAAAAGGTTTTTCCCCGGGTGGGGAACAGCTCCATGCGATTTCTTACAAAAATATCCCTTTAAAAAAAAGGGGTTCAGTTTAAAATGTAAAAGGATTTTGGGAAAAGTGGATAACGAAAAAAAAGATTTCCATATATTTAAAACCCTTTCATAAAAAACCAGAAAACCTTCCTGACACAAATTTAAGTGCTGTACGATGAGAAACACTCAATTTTTCCACATCAACGGGGTTAAAACACCCTCAAAACCCCGGCGGGGAAACCAAAAAAGGTTGCGGAACAAAGGGAACTTTTCCCATAGAAACGGGGAATTCTTTTTTCGGGGCCCAAACAAGTATCACCCTGTCGGAAAGATTTTGTTACCATAAAAACGGGGCCCAAGATATTTTTTTTTTTAATTCAGAGTTTAGTTTTGTCAGTTTTTTTAAATGTTTGAAGTTTATTTTTCAATTTTTTAAATTTTTAATGTGATATTCTTTTCGGTACAATGGGGGTCCGCCTTCTCCATTCTAACTAAAATTTAAAAATAATATTTGGGAAACTTAAAATCCCCTTTAAATAACCCCCAGAATGTGTTTTTCCCCGAGCGGCTTAATCAAGTAAACGGAAAGATTTTAGGGGGCTGGTTTTTTGGGTATGTCCGACAAGACTACGGGGGAAACCCAAATGGTAAGTTTTTTTAAAATTCGGGTCTGGGTAAGTGGTTTAATGGAGGGTTTTTTGTCCACAAATGTTACAAAAAAGGCTTGAGCAAACGGTAAGAGTTACGGGGCTCGCTATGTGGCTTCAAAAAAATAGTGAAATTTGGGGTTCCCCGGGTAAGTTTTCGGTGTCATTTTAAACCCCTAAAATCTTATTGGGTTTAATTGGGGGGGGGCACTTTTTGGGGACTGAAAAAGAGAGTTATACTTTCAAAACAAAAAGTTATCGTGTTCAAAAAATGATAGGGGGTTTGTGGTTTTTAAGGGGTTTAAATTTTCTATTGTTTAAATTGTTTAAGAACAAATTTTTTAAAAGGAAAACCTTGGGGATAGTGGGGCAACCGAATAGAATTGAAAAACCTAAGGGCAGGTTTTGACTCAACGGGAAAATTACCCCTTACCTTTTTAAATTCTAACACTTAACAAGATTTTTTAAAAATTAATAAGTTTTTTAGAAACTTACAACCTCATACCCTCTGTCTTATATTAAATAACCACCCCTTAAAGGGTTCGTTTTTGTATAATCTATAAGTAATGTATTACTTTATCGGTAAAAAATTAGGAATAATGTATAATTTTTTTTAGAAATGTTTTACTTTAATCTCAGTAATTAATGTTAAGATATAATTTTTTTTAAAAAAGATTTTTTATTTTATTGATAATGATATTTTTTTTTTTTGGGCTTTTATATTATTTTTATTTTTAAAAGAAACCATAAATTACTACATTTTTGGTGTGAAACCCCTTTTTAAATTTTAATGATAGGGAACAGGGAAATCTCGATTTACCCATTTCCCAAAAAAATTTCCCGCTTTGCAAATGAACATTTTATGTTAAAAACCCTTAAATTATGTTGTTTAAAAATTACTAGGGTTAAATTAACATTTTTATGTTAAAAAAACATTTTTAAATTTTAAATTACACTTTTATGTTGATTCCCTTATTTATGTTAATCACTTTATTATTTTAAATTACCCCTCTTGATAAAGTTTTGGGCTGGTTGTTAAGACCCTTTGTGAGATTGGAAATTGCTGGAAGCTGAAGGGTTTAATAAATTTGTCACGTGTTAGATCAATTTTTTACCGCGTCAATATCTCTCCCAAGAGGGGTTACAAAGGGTAAGCTACCATAAAAGGGGAATTTTAAGGGTGGTACCCCAATCTCAGAGTTGAGTTGCTTTTTTTGGGATCTCGGAAACTTTTTTTCCCCTTTTTGTCGTTATGATCAATCGCCCAATATAAACATACTAATTTTTTTGGGTTTAAATTTTTGGCCCTGGGTACATCGCTTGCACCTTCTGAAATTCTTCCATTATCCATCGATAGAAATAAAAATTAATCTCTAAAAATTTCCTACTTTCGTAATGTCGTTTTTCTCCACTTTTAAAATGTTTTTACCAAATAATGTTCGTGTTTAAGTGAACAGTAAATTTTACGCTTTATTGTTGGTGAATACTGTGTATTTCATTTTGAATACTACAAATTTTCCCAAACCTGTATTGGCATATTTTTACAGACTCTTTTTTAAAAAATTTTTTACATGGGGTTTGATTACTGAGTTTGTCAAAATAAACCCCCCCCCCCCCCCCCCTGAAAATTAATCAGACAACTAATTAAAAAGAAAATTAATTATTTTTAAAACTTTGTTTTAAAACAATTTTCAAAATTTTAAAGATCTTTCTAATAATTTAAAATACATTATACTGCAGAATGTCAATAGTCTTTATTATCTTATTCTAAAAGTGAAATCATTTAACCCAAAAAAGGGAAAAGTCTAGAAGTCAGAGTATCAGATACCAGACGGACAAACAAAATGTTTTTAAATTAAAAAAAGCGTTTTTTGCACGTGGACGGGAAAAATCTGGGGGAAAATTTGGGAAGTTAAAAAAAGTGGGAGTTGATTGGGTTTTGGGGGATTAATTCTTTAAAAAAACCCCTTTTTAAAAAAACCCTTCCCGATTGTGTTTATATTAACATGTTTCAATTCAAATATTGATCTCCCTTTGTGGGCTAAAATAATGTTACATAATTGTTGCTGTTTTGCAAATTTCTTCTGGGTAATGTTTTACATTTTTGTTGCCAAATGTTGAATTACTTCGGGTTAAAGTATACATACTTTTTTGCAAATGGTTGGGATTCTTCTGGGGGGTGTATACAAATATTGTTGCAGTGTTGCATTACTTCGGGTAAATTTTAAAACTACTTGTTGCAAATTTAAGCACTACTTTGGGTAATGTAAACAATACTTTTTGCAGG